AGAGAGAGAGAGAGAGAGAGAGAAGTCACACAGAAACAAAGCCTCTCAGACGCCGCCCATTGCATCATAATCCTGAACCCTTGTGGCCCCGTATCAAACCATTCTTTACAACGCCAGTCGTCACGCCATCCTCGCCTGTCATCCAGCCTGGCATTCGCTCGCCGTCCACGATTCCAGCTTCGACTAATTGTCGTATTCCAGCAAACACATGCGTGCCCTGAAAGTTTATCCGTACAATCGGCGTCCACCGCGTCGGGTCGATGTCATCACCCTCCTCGTCACCGTCCCCCAAGGCCTGCCGCAGCGCGGCATCGATCTTGCTCCTCCGCCTGTACGTCTGCTGATTCCGCCTGTCATCTTCATCCTCAGAGTCTTGCACAAACAGGCCATCTATCGCCGGATACGGGTCCTGCATAATGACTTCGAACCGCTCGACGCCCTTGCCGTCAGACACGATGCCCGAAGTGCCGAAGCGTGCCTTGGCCACCGTCTTGGCCCGCTTCGCAGCCCGCTCATGCTGCGACAGCGGCCTCGAGCGCTTCTGGGCCGTCTCTGCGTTTGACGACGACTCCCTCGACAGCGGTGGCGTGGGGAGCATCGTGTCCAACGGTGATTTCTTGTCCTTTTCGTTTGCGTAGATACTCCACCCGCCCCCCGCAGCATTGCTCCGGCCGGGGCCTCTCCTTTCGAGGAGAGCCTCCAAGTTCCTGCTTACGAGACTCGTAGGCTTGAGGGTGTACCGCTCCCGGGGACGCGACAGGGCCTGCGGGACACCGTTGGCGATGAGGCCGTGTAGACTCTTTGACTCCCCATGGCTGATTGGCCCGGTGGCCTGGGCTCTGGTTATGAATAGTGCTGGTGAGCCGTCCGGAAAAGCCAGGTATATCGTCCGCGATGAATTAAAGTTGGTGGAATTTCCGCTACCGGCAGGGCCTGACAGCGCTAGATCTGTATTATAGGGGGATTCTATGGCAAAGATGCGGAGCAGCAGCAGTGGAAACCTTTTCGGTCGTGAGAAGTGGTAATGCGCCTTAATGTCAGGCAGGACCTGTTCCTGCAGGCTCTGTAGGAACGTCGACGGGTGAAACCTCGGCAGACTAAGACTCTTGTCGTCTGCTTTCAGGATCTCGTCGTCGGCATCCTTGGTAGGGAGATTCAGGGGCTGGATCTTGTAGGCCGTCCATTTCTGGGACGTGGGGTGCTCGTCGAGATATGCAAAGTCGACCATGGCGAGTTGGTAGAGCGTCAGGCCATGGCGCCAATCTCCCTCTAAAATACGACTGACGACATCGCGCCTGGAGCCCCTTTGCTGCTGCAGATCCGTGTAGAGATCGTGCAGCTCCTCGATGGACTTGCAGGGCGGGTAGAGGTCTGCCGAGTCCTCAGGGGTGTCGTCATCGTCGGCGCCGAGGGGCGACAGATACGGCGCGGTGTAGGCTAGGGATGGACCGTCTAGCCAGTCGAGGGCGAGGAGGATAAGAGCTTCGCGGGATAGTCGACTGATGGCTTTGATGACGGCCGTGTTGGCGGATTCGACGCGGAGAGACGATGGCAGGCGGGATTTGGTTGCTACGGAGAGACGAGACATGGCGGCATTGGAGGGCCTAGAATTGGCACGAGCGGGATACACGCCGAGTTGGAGAGGTTGCTCGACGGCCAAGTCATGAAACAGGCATTGCGGTGTGATATACTAGTCTGAGTTTGCAGCACCGGGGAGAGTTGGCGTAGCAGAGAAAGTGTTCAAGAGTCTGATGGAGGTGCAGCGGTGCCCCACCAAACAAAGCGGCACGCGATGTCGTCGCCATTGACCGGCTTCCGGGGCGCGTTTTAGCAAGTCTAGGAGCGTGGTCACGTGTATTGACTCACGTGACGGGCCGCGCTCGACAACAAGCTAGAACTCCGTAGTACGCCATGTAAAATAGCAGTTGCTGACTGCGCGTGGGCACAAGCGTAGCCAACAAGCGTAGAGTCTATGGCATCATACATTGGTGCATCTGTTATTTCCTGTTGTCAGCTCGAGGCTAGCTCCCATCCTGAGCATGGGATAGCTTTCAAATTTAACTACGAAAGCGCATACGGAGGAGTGTACTTACCCCAAGGTAACCAATGCCTTGTTGGTGGCCAATTCGCGTCTCCGTTTGCATCCGTCCGTGTTCCATCCGTGTCCATCTGTTTCAAAGCAATTGACGTTTGTCGAGCTCTGCTTGGTTGTGATTGGCTCGACATTGAGGTGCCCAATGCCAGCTGACGGTGCTGAGCCAGTCAACGTTCTAGTGCACTTGCCACTGTAGCTTCCGCCCTCGAAGCGCGTCCACTGTCAAGCTGGTCAAGGACCGCTGAGCCGGTGCTGTCCGGTCAGCCCAGCTCGGCGACTCGGCCAATCAGCAACGCCTGTTGGCTGCGGCAAGTGCAGTCCATGACCAACTAAACTATCGTGGGGACATTTTCTTACCTGCGCCGTTGGCCCCTCCTTGCCCACCATTTCTTCTCTTTTTGCTTCCTCTTCGACTCGTCATCTTTGCCTCATTTGGTGTCCTCTTGGTCAGCAGCATCACTAGAGTCAAACGTTGCCCATTATGCAAGCTCCGGTGCTGGTTATGAGTGAGTTGGCGGCTCCGTTTTCTTATTCCTCTTTTCTCTGTTGGGAAATCCTCCCGGTGTCTGGTCTTGCATCATCGGCCTTTGAGGAACCCCCAAAGCTGTATCATCTCAACATGCCACGCTGACTTTTTGATCTCTGCAGACACCAACGGCGGCGAGAGACAGACGGGAAGAAAGGCCCAATTGTCTAACATTGCCGCTGCGAAAACGTATGTTCCCCAACCGCCCTTCTTCCACCGCTTGCCTCGACGTCCAAGTATTATCCGCTAAAGCTTGATGCGTATTTTCCGCAGTGTTGCCGATATCATTCGCTCATGTCTGGGTCCCAAGGCCATGCTCAAGATGCTTCTTGACCCCATGGGCGGTATCGTCTTGACCAATGACGGACATGCTATCCTGAGAGAGATCGAGGTGTCGCACCCCGCGGCCAAGAGCATGATTGAGCTCAGCCGGACACAAGATGAGGAAGTTGGTGATGGGACCACGACCGTCATCATCCTGGGTAAGCAGTGGAATCGGCATCATCACCAGTCTAGCACTCTACTCCCGCACCAAAATTACACGCCGCTTCTAACGCTGCAGCAGCCGGCGAAATCTTGGCCCAAGCTCTTCCTCAGCTTGAACGCAACATCCACCCGGTCGTCATCATTTCCGCCTTCAAACGCGCCCTTGAGGATGCCATCAAGATCATCGACGAAATCTCTCTGCCTATCGACGTTGACGACGACAAGGCCATGAATCAGCTCATCTCGTCTTCAATCGGCACTAAGTTTGTCTCCCGATGGATGGATCAGATGTGCGACCTTGCCCTCAAGGCGGTGCGAACCGTCACTTGGGAGGCCGGCAATGGCAAGACCGAAGTTGATATCAAGCGTTATGCCCGTATTGAAAAGGTGCCCGGCGGTGAGATTGAAGACAGCAGAGTCCTCGACGGCCTAATGCTGAACAAGGACATCACACACCCCAAGATGCGCCGGCGTATCGAGAAACCCCGCATTGTCCTGCTGGATTGCCCTCTAGAGTACAAGAAGGGAGAGTCTCAGACAAACATAGAAATCACCAAGGAGGAGGATTGGAACCGAATCCTGCAGATTGAGGAGGAACAAGTCAAGGCCATGTGCGAAGCCATCATTGCCGTCAAGCCCGACCTTGTCATTACCGAGAAGGGTGTATCAGGTGTGTTTTTTCTACAGCTTGTCTTCCTACGCATTTCTTTGTATCGCTAACGTGACGCACCGCAGACCTCGCTCAGCATTACTTTATGAAGGCCAACATTACTGCCCTTCGACGAGTTCGCAAGACGGACAACAACAGAATAGCCCGCGCCACCGGCGCCACCATCGTCAACAGAGTAGACGACCTTCAGGACTCGGACGTCGGCACACGGTGCGGCCTGTTTGAGATTGAGAAGATTGGCGACGAGTACTTCACTTTCCTCACCAAGTGCCAGGACCCCAAGGCCTGCACCGTCCTCCTCCGTGGTCCGTCAAAAGACGTCCTCAACGAGATTGAGCGCAACCTGCAGGATGCCATGGGCGTTGCCCGCAATGTCATGTTCCACCCACGCCTGTCCCCTGGCGGTGGGGCGACGGAAATGGCTGTTTCCGTCAGACTCGCTCAGCTCGCCAAGAGCATCGAGGGTGTTCAGCAGTGGCCGTACAAAGCCGTTGCCGATGCTCTCGAGGTGATCCCCCGCACCCTGGTCCAGAACGCCGGCAAGAGCCCGGTGCGTGTCTTGACGGATCTGCGCGCGAAGCAGGCCGAGGGTAAGAGCTCATGGGGTGTCAATGGAGACACTGGTACCATTGTAGACATGAAGGAGTATGGGGTGTGGGAGCCCGAGGCTATTAAGCTACAGAGTCTCAAGACTGCTATTGAGGTGAGTCACCCGTCTGTGGAAGCAAGATTATTGGGCACGGAGCTAACCGTCAGCAGGCCGCATGCTTGTTGCTGAGAGTAGACGATATTTGCAGTGCAAAGAAGGCACAGAAGGGCGGCGCTCCCGGCGTTGGTGGAGGTGACGACTAAGCGAGGCATTTAATGACACTAAGGATGATTTGGTCAATCAACGAAATGGATAAAGATGAAATAGGGAAACCAGGGGATCTAGCATGTATGTTTGCCATTGCAAGAAGAATACCCCTGTACCACTCGCTGCAAGAGGAGCAGGTGAGGGTTTTGGAGGGTCAATTCAGCATAGACTACAGAAATTCAAGGTGTACGGGTAGCTTCTCCCTCGGCGTGGGTGGACGGTTCTTTTCGGCCCGAGTATTAATAAAATAAAATGACACACAAGATGTGTGTGCAAGAGGGAATAGGGTGTTGCGCGGCAAAAGGCAAAAGCGTATAAAGATGTGTGTATATATATATATGTGTGTGTGTGTGTGTGTGTGTGTGTGTGTATGTGTGTGTGTGTGTATGTGTATGCATGTTGCTTTGTTCGTCTCATGCAGGATCCATGGAGTCGAGGGGATTTGGTACACAACATGTGTATACGGGTATCAAAATCAAGGCTATGCTATGTCTACGGTGGAAACTGTAAAAGTGATCCATCAGTCGTCATCATGAATGATGACAAGACCAGAATGCGCAGAAGACACGGTGCCCCCCATCGTTTTGCCTTGTTCACTCGTTTCCTCCCGAGTACCTGGATCCGCTCCGTGCGTGATTCCCTCGGCACCAGCACCAGCACCAGCACCAGCGTCACCTCCAGCGCCGGTCCCGGTCGCCGTCTTCTTGCCCTTGTTCGCCTTTCTCGCCTTCATCTTCTCCCTCCTCTCCCTGTTCTTGCGGGTCTTGTCCTCGTCCCGCTGGGATTTTTCGGCGCGGCTCTTTTGAAAGTCATGCTGCTCCCTCTCCCGCTTCAGGGCCTCATCCATGTCTCTCAGGCGCTCGTACTCGCGGCGCCGAGATGCCTTGTACACGTGGAACTCGCCGGACCCTGCGCCCGACGAAGACCCCTGCACGTTGGTGTATATCTCGGGAATACGGGGGGCCCTCTTGACGGCGGCGGACGACGGCAGACGGATGTTCTGGTGGGGCTTGGCGAAGAGGGCAGACAGCGAGGCGGCCTGCGAGGATGTAGGTGACGGGGCGCGCTTCTTGGTGGCCCGGCGGGAGCGCGGGTCTGCCGATGTTGGGATTGACTCGGGGCCTGGGGCGGACATGTTGGGGGTTGGTGGTTTCCTGTTTCGTGTTGTGCACGGTGCGGTGCGGTGCGGTGCGGTGCGATGCGACGCGACGCGGCGTGATGTGATCTGTGACCGGGTGGTGATGACCCGGAGCAGAAATGGTGTTTAGGAAAAAAACCAGATATGCCGGGAATGGGATAGATGGCCTTGGCGTTCGGGTCAGGATGAACAGGAAAAAGCGATGCGGGGGAGGCGAATCGTGGCAAGGTGGTTCGAGTCCATGAACGCCGGCTCGGGCAACAAAGGCGACGAATGCGGCGGATGATGGTCTGGAGTTTGTGACAGAGGCGCGTGGACGTTTGAGGCCGATGAGACGAGACGACACGGGTCGAGACGTCAGAGTCGGAGAAGCGCAGATGGAAGTTACCACTCGCGCACTCCAAATTTAGGCAGGCGCCTCCGGTAGTTATTATTAGTCACCATTTTTACCATTGACAATCTGCATGCTGCGACGTTCGACCACCCCAACAACTTCTCTGTCTCTCCACAATCTCTACCAGCGGCTTTGAGTGGCCTGCTCGTCAAGGTCTTCTCATTTGTCGCATGTGAATCACCTCTAGCTTGCGATTGTGCGTCTCGTCTTTCCTGCAGCCTGCTTTTAATTTAAGCCGCCTGCCGCGCCGACCTCACGCCCAACGCCTCGACGTCGAGCAAGGCCGAACCCAACCTTTGTCCTCGGCAAAGAGCAGCGAGCACTCGAACCCCCTCTTTCCGCGCCGACAAAATCATGGCAAAGCCGAGATTGATCATACTGATTCGACATGGCCAGTCCGAAGGGAACAGTCAGTCTCTTGCCGACCGACCGCCCGCCAGCCAGCCACGCCCAGCCAGCCACGCCCAGCCAGCCAGTTTGATATCAACCATTACTGACCCTCTCCCCAGAAAACCGCGAGATACATCAAAGCGTCCCAGACCACCGCGTGAAGCTCACGCCCGAAGGATGGTCCCAGGCCCACGAGGCCGGCCGCCGCCTGCGCAACCTCCTCCGTCCCGACGACACCGTCCAGGTATTCACATCCCCGTACCGACGCACGCGCGAGACCACAGACGGCATCCTCGCCACCCTTACGTCCGACGACCCCGACATATCGCCCTTCCGCCGGTCCAACATCAAAGTGTACGAGGAGCCCAGGCTGCGTGAGCAAGACTTTGGCAACTTCCAGCCTTGCAGCGCCGAGATGGAGCGCATGTGGCAGGAGCGCTTGGACTACGGACATTTCTTCTACCGCATCCCCAACGGCGAGAGCGCCGCCGACGCCTACGACCGCGTGAGCGGCTTCAACGAGAGTCTGTGGCGCCAATTCGGCGACGAGGACTTCGCCAGCGTCTGTGTCCTAGGCATGACTTCCCTCCCACCGGTCCTCTCCTGCGTCATCTGCCAAGTCTAACCCGCCCACGTCCAGTCACTCACGGACTCATGTCGCGCGTCTTCCTCATGAAATGGTACCACCTCACTGTCGAAGAATTCGAAGACCTACGCAACCTCGACCACTGCGAGTTCCTCGTCATGCGTAAGCAAGAAAACGGCAAATTCCTTCTCGAAACCAAGCTCCGCACGTGGTCCGAACTCCGTCGAGAACGAGCCCTCGCCAACGTCGCCAGCAGCGGCAGCAGCAGCACCAAGGAAAAGGGAAAGGACGAAACCCCCCGGCTCGACCGCGAGCGCACCTTTGTAGTGACGCGGAAATGGGGCGGCTGTCCCAACGGCTGCAACCACACTGACCACTACAAGAGGCGGCACGACCTCGAGGCCCTGCGCCAAAGGGACAACGAGCTCAGCGCGGCCGCCAACGGAACCTCAACCATGCTGTCGGCCCGGCGCCACCGGCACAAGTCCACCGTGAGCGTGGGCGACGGCGACGACGAGCACAGCGACCAGCAAGCCCCGGGCGGCGCGCGGCTAGAGCAGACTCGCAGTCTGGACGACACGGCTCCCTCGCCCGACGGCACGTCGTCCTACGCGCAGCCCTACGACGGCCTGCGCAGCCTCTCATCGCCCCGCCTACACCTTGGCCGCGACTTTGGCGGCACCTACTCGGGCCACGCATCCGTCGCCGGCTCCGACTCTGAGGCCTCGTCCGGCCAGGGTCGCTGCCGCCGCAGCCGCCGCCGCAAGACGACTCACCAGGGCAAGGCGCACGCCGCCACCAAGTGCGTGGGCGCGTGCGCCAATCGTTTGGGAGACGCGGCCCCCGCGCCGGGCTCCGACACGGAGGACCTGGACGCCGCCGAGAAGAAGGACAGGAGCATCAGCTGGAGCGTGTACTAGGTTGGGAGTCTTGCTTTTCTTCTCGGCATCATTTTCTGGACACGGCATTGCGGGCGTTGGGTTGGGAAAACGGAGCGTATACACATGGGCGACTGCATAAGTTGAATACAGGACATGACTGACTGCTCGATTGCTTGATTGATGCATGAGATGGAATCATCTCCCGAGACAGACCCCCCGAGTGCAACGTTTGTGGCAACATTGCGCCGACGTACGACTGAGCGCCGCAACTCACGTGTCC